ATGTATTTATTACCTAATTATTTTAAACCAGCAAGACAAGTGTATGCGCTTTTTAATTCATCCTTTGACACCCCCTCTTCCTCCCTTTGATCGCAGTGGCTGTATAAATCTGGCTCCAACCACAGATGAGTTGCCTAATGAACATCTTACACCGCAGATTTCTTTTCAGACATTTAAGGCAGATTGTGTGGGTGCTGCACATGTTGTTTAATTCATCTATAGCGTATCCCTATGTACTATCCTCAGTGTCTATTTTATTAGGGGACAGATAGAGAATCTGCAAGGCAGACAGAAAATTCTCACAGCCTCAGATACCTTCTACATTATATAGTCTTGGATGGATATCCGGCAACAATTTCTTAAACAACCAGGCAGACTTAAACACTCCTCAATGTGATAAGTGGATAGAGTGCCCCCACATATCTGTGAGTTCCGAACTGCACTCCTCAAACTCGGCCCATTGTAAGGAATTCTCTTTCCCACTTTGCATGTTCCATTAACATTAGCGGTAGAAAATTATGGCAGGAGGAATGAAGCTTCCCCTGTCTCAATTCAGGAAAATAAGACTCCGTGCTGGGGTGGGAGAGGAGAAATTCCATGTTTGGGTGGGAGAGGAGAGACCATGTTTGGATGAGAGATTCAATGATTGGGTAGGAGAGGTAAGATTCCATGTTTGGGTGGGAGAGGTAAGATTCCATGTTTGGGTGGGAGAGGTAAGATTCCATGTTTGGGTGGGAGAGGTAAGATTCCATGTTTGGGTGGGAGAGGTAAGATTCCATGTTTGGGTGGAAGAGGAGAGATTGCATGTTTTTGGAGGGGAAGTGAGACTGTTTCGGTGCGAGAGGAGAGATTCCATGTTTGGGTGGGGAAAGTGAGACTTCATGTTTGGTTGGCAGAGGAACGATTCCATGCTTGAGTGGTAGAAGAGAGGTTCTATGTTTAAAGTGGTACAGGAGAGATTTCATGCTTGGGTGGTAGAAGAGAGGTTCTATGTTTGAGTGGTACAGGAGAGATTCCATGTTTGGGTGAGAGAGGAGAGAGTCAATGTTTGGGTGGTAAAGGAAAGATTGCATGTTTTGGGTGGGGGAAGTGAGACTCCATGTTTGGGTGGGGGACGTGAGACTCCATGTTTGGGTGGGGGAAGTGAGACTCCATGTTTGGGTGGGGGAAGTGAGACTCCATGTTTGGGTGGGGGAAGTGAGACGCCATTTTTGGGTGGGGGAGGAGAGGGTTTGGGTGGGGAGGAGGATGCCATGTTTGGGTGGGGGAGTGAGATGCCAGGTTTGGGTGGGGGAGGAGAGATGCCAGGTTTGGGTGGGGAGGAGAGATGCCAGGTTTGGGTGGGGAGAGGAGAGATGCCAGGTTTGGGTGGGGAGGGAGAGATGCCATGAGGGTGGGAGAGGAGAGATGCCATGTTTTGGGTGGGAGAGGAGAGATGCCATGTTTTGGGTGGGAGAGGAGAGATGCCATGTTTTGGGTGGGAGAGGAGAGATGCCATGTTTTGGGTGGGAGAGGAGAGATGCCATGTTTTGGGTGGGAGAGGAGAGATGCCATGTTTTGGGTGGGAGAGGAGAGATGCCATGTTTTGGGTGGGAGAGGAGAGATGCCATGTTTTGGGTGGGAGAGGAGAGATGCCATGTTTTGGGTGGGAGAGGAGAGATGCCATGTTTTGGGTGGGAGGAGGCCATGTTTTGGGTGGGAGAGAGATGCCATGTTTTGGGTGGGAGAGGAGAGATGCCAGTTTTGGGTGGGAGAGGAGAGATGCCAGGTTTTGGGTGGGAGAGGAGAGATGCCAGGTTTTGGGTGGGAGAGGAGAGATGCCAGGTTTTGGGGGAAGTGGGTTTGGGTGGGAGAGGAGAGATGCCATGTTTGGGTGGGAGAGGAGAGATACCATGTTTGGGTGGGAGAGGAGAGATGCCATGTTTGGGTGGGAGAGGAGAGATGCCATGTTTGGGTGGGGGAAGTGAGACTCCATGTTTGGGTGGGAGAGGAGAGGAGAGATGCCATGTTTGGGTGGGAGAGGAGTGAGATGCCATGTTTGGGTGGGGGAAGTGAGACTCCATGTTTGGGTGGGAGAGGAGAGATGCCATGTTTGGGTGGCAGTTTGGGTGGAGAGGAGAGATGCCATGTTTGGGTGGCAGAGGAGAGATGCATGCCATGTTTGGGTGGCAAAGGAGACATTCCATGTTTGAGTGGCAGAGGAGAGATTCTATGTTTGGGTGGTAGAGGAGAAATTCTGTGTTTGGGTGGTAGAGGAGAAATTCTGTGTTTGGGTGGTAGAGGAGAAATTCTGTGTTTGGGTGGGAGAAGAGAGGTTCCGTGTTTGGGTGGGAGAAGAGAGGGTTCCGTGTTTGGGTGGGAGAGGAGAGATTCGTGTTTGGGTGGGAGAAGAGAGCTTCCGTGTTTGGGTGGGAGAGGAGAGGTTCCGTGTTTGGGTGGGAGAAGAGAGGTTCCGTGTTTGGGTGGGAGAGGAGAAATTCTGTGTTTGGGTAGGAGAGGAGAGATTCCATGTTTAGGAGGAGAAAGTGAGATTCCCATGTTTGCGAGGCGGAAGTGAGACTCCTTGTTTGAGTGTGGAAGTAAGCCTTCCCAAATCTGGGATATCTATCCAAACAATATGAAAAGCCCTTACAGGACTTATCCTTTCAGCATCATCGCATGGCTTTTCTATGCATAGACTGCCCTGTTAATCTGGAAGTTTCCACTTCAAACAGAAAAAAAAAAAAAAAAACTAGAACTTGTATAACTCTGTATGTGACACAAAGCGGAAGATGCTTTGTAGTTGCCACTATGACCCAATACCTGGAATCCTCACTGGATGTAGATAATGACTGTAAATTGTGTAACTGTTGTGGACATGATGGGAATGGTGCTCTTCCTAGTATTGAACCAGCATTGCACCCTCACCCGTCACCTATTGCCATGTATCGGTCAAGGTGACAGCCCACTGTGGGTCTTGCACTGTATGTCAGTAATGTTTCACAATGGGTTCACCCTGCCCGGACTTCATGATATAAAAGTCATTCATTAAACAGAAGTTTTACTTTCATATCACTGCCCTGTCAGCAGGTTGTCTTGCTCAATCCCATTCATCAGGTTCACTTCTGATATTTATAGAACATGTTAAACAGGTTAAATGTTAATATTTACACAATTCTATCAGTTCCATCTCCTTACTAAGCCGATTCTTCCGGATATACTCTCACTCCCAACGCACGCCGTGTCAGCCGCTACAGGTGTAATATTATTTAACAGCAGCAATTACTCCTATTTCTGCACTTTGTTCAACTCGTGAGAAGTTTTCTCAGAAAATATCAATAGTTCTACAAGCAGCACTGCACGCGATATCAACACCAGACCTGTTGTATCTATATATTCATTATTGTTATACAGTCCTACTGTGAACCTTATAATTGTCTGTTTCTATGGATTCCATAGGTTATACATTAGTAAGTATTGGGTGCGTATAGATGAGAAATAATGTGGGCAGATGGAAGAGCCTGTAGCCAATCAGACGTTAGCATAGTACAGCTGAATACAATATTTCATGTCAGCAGGGGTGGAGTGACAACTCATGGGGCCCCTGTGTCCTTGCCCAAACTCAAAAAAGCCTATGAAAAAGGTACCAGGGGCATTTCATAGGGCCCCCTACTGACTCTGGGCCCTCGGGCAGTGCCAGAGTTTTCCAAATGGTCAGTCTGCCTCTGCACAGTCAGGCAGTCTTTTCTGACAGTTCAGGAGGCCAGCTAACATACAGTGGATTGGATAGTTAAAGCCTAAGGCAACCCATACATTAGCCAGTTTTTCATTCAACCAGCAGGCTGAGCAAAAAAAAATGATCTAATTCCCCCATTCCAGGTGGAGAAATTCTCCCCGCTGTGTCTTTGTTTTCTGACAGAAGGGGGACTTCCCCTCCATCAGAATACACTGAGCCTGCAGTGCTCACTGGGGAAAATCCAAAAGTGCGGTTGTACAGAAGTTGATTACAAATAACATAAAATATTTTTATAAAATTTATGTTGGTACTTATATAGAGCCGTCAATTTATGCAGCACTTTACATATATATTGTACATTCACATCAGCCCCTAACCCTCAAGGGGTGTACAATCTAAGGTCCCTAACTCACATTCATACATACACATACTAGGGCCAATTTAGACAGGATCCAATTAACCTACCAACATGTCTTTGGAGTGTGGGAGGAAACCGGAGGACCCGGAGGAAACCCATGCAGGCACAGGGAGAACATGCAAACTCCAGGCAGGAGGTGCCGTGGCTGGGATTCGAACTAATGACCCTAGTACTGCCAGGCAGAAGTGCTAAACATGGATTAAACTTCAGCCAGTCCCTGCTAAACCAGCTAAATTTTGATCCTAATTTAAAGTGTTACTAAATCCACAACAGTAAAATCAGTGTGTATATGCAGTAAAGCATGCTTGTTCTATTCTCAGCATTGTGTAAAAGGGCTGTTTGTCTTCTCTGATCCTCCCCTTCTTCTAATGTCCCCAATCCATCTGCTGATAGAACAGAGCCTTAGGGGCAAGTTGCACATGTTCAGTTTGGTGTGTGTTGCTAGAGTTTTTTTTTCTTGGGAGGGTGTATGTGATCAGCACACAGGGCCAATCAGCACTGTCCAGACAGAGGGTCAGGAGTCATGCAGCCTCATAGGACAATCAGGGGAGAATGAAAGCCCCCTCCTACAAGATTAACCATTTCTCTGCTGGACACTGATAGAAGTCACAAGACTGCTATATACTGTTTATGAGAAAGTTATTTAGCCGTTTATATTTACTAAATAATTGCATTTCTATGTTGCATACTGTGGGGGCCCAGATGTAGTCAATGCAGGGTCCTGGGAGACCAAATATATGAGCGGGGTGACCAGATATAGTGAATGGGGGTCCGGGGAGACCAGATATAGTGAATGCGGGGTCCGGGGAGACCAGATACAGTGAATGCGGGGTCCTGGGAGACCAGATATAGTGAATGCAGGGTCCTGGGAGACCAGATACAGTGAATGCAGGGTCCTGGGAGACCAGATACAGTGAATGCAGGGTCCGGGGAGAGTGGATATAGTGAGTGCAGGGTCCGGGGAGAGCGGATATAGTGAATGCAGGGTCCGGGGAGACCGGATATAGTGAATGCGGGGTCCGGGGAGACCGGATATAGTGAATGCAGGGTCCGGGGAGACCGGATATAGTGAATGCAGGGTCCGGGGAGAGCGGATATAGGGAATGCGGGTCCGGGGAGAGCGGATATAGTGAATGCGGGGTCCGGGGGAGACCGGATATAGGGAATGCGGGGTCCGGGGAGACCGGATATAGGGAATGCGGGGGTCCGGGGAGACCGGATATAGTGAATGCGGGGTCCGGGGAGACCGGATATAGTGAATGCGGGGTCCGGGGAGACCGGATATAGTGAATGCGGGGTCCGGGGAGACCGGATATAGTGAATGCGGGGTCCGGGGGGAGAGTGAATGCGGGGTCCGGGGAGACCGATACAGTGAATGCGGGGTCCGGGGAGACCAGATACAGTGAATGCAGGGTCCTTGGTTTAGTAACACTTTAAGTTTAACTTGGGAAAAAAAAATACAATGGGATGTGTCCCTTGTGCTTATATCTTCCAGTTCAGTAGATATCTTCCTCCTCCAATGCCCCCCTACCATCGCTGCCATAATCTTCTGGTGTGGCAGGGGTTGATGATAGAACTGAGGAGCTCTCATAGGGTCTCCTCAAGAGAGCCCAACTAGGTCCGCCCTTTCTGCCCAGCTGATCCATTCATACAAGCCATACTACAACTTCTATGAATAAAATGGGATCTATGAATGGGGGATGGGTGGATGAAAGGATCACTCCCTCCATTCATCAGCACATCAGCCATTTTCTGGGTAAGGAGGACATTATTGCTGTTACAACCCAACAGCTTGCATTGAGGACTAGAAGGGGCTTATCAGCTCTACCCCAAGCAGCCTACAGAGGCATGTTGGCTTATAGAGGGGCGGATACATTTCCCCTGAGGGCCCCTTCACACTGCCAGCACACTTAGGCCCTTTGTATTGCTGTGTTGTTTTTTTGCATGTCTTCATGTGACATGAATAGGGCAGTGCGTTCATTTGAATGGGCTATCCTGTTGTGTGACAAATACACCAAAGAAACTCCCTCACTTTTTTCAGGTGTAGCACTTGGCTCCTTTTTTACCAGGTAGTTTAGTGTATTTGCTGCATGTGAAAACGCGTTTTTTTAGGTGCAATTTACAATTAATGGCACTGAAAGCGAGATGTGCATTTTTCATGCAGTCTGTGAAAACAAGCCAAAATGTGCGTTTATGGAACACGCATATGTGAATGGAGCCTAAACCAGAGTGATTTAGTAGGCAGGCAGTTGTTAATTTTGGCTGCAGTGAGATGCGTGTTTCAGCGCATCACGCAGTTGCCTTTTTTTTTTTTTTTTTTGGCAACTTTACTTGAAGTGACATGTCACCGCACAGCAGTGGGGTGCATCGCAGGCCTGTGCAGTGACACGCAGTGTCTTCCAGTGTGCTATGATAACATGTAGCATGTCTTCACTTTATTGCAGCTTGCTGCGCTGCAACTCTGGGCTGCATTGCAGTACTAATGGGGCACATAGAAAACTGTTATCTATGTGCAGTAGTGAGGACTTCCAGCATGTGAACCGGCCCTAAGGCTAGATTCACTTTTAAGCGTTTTGTGGTGCATTTTGCAGAAATTCACTACAGTCCATTTAACATGATTTCCTATGGGTGAAGTTCACATATCTGCGTTTTCAGTTGGTGTGATCTTTTGGAAAGGGTCAGGGACTTTTTTTTTAAAAGCAAAACGATGCACTTTGGTTTAATAGACTTCAATGGAGACGCTGCAGAAATGCACACACAAAGAGAACACCTGAACTGAGCGATCCCACACAGTGACAGATCCGACACAACACACCACCACCAACACAGATCAGGTCCAGCAGGCACTAGAAGAGCAGGCTGTGGGATCGTGATGATGTCATCACTCACCGACACATCGCACATGTGATGGATGGCTGGGTCAGATTCACACACACAAGACATCAGAGTCAAAAATTGCCTTCCTTGGCAGGCGCAGCTCCGCCTCAGCTGATGAATGGGAAGAGAAAGGCTGGAAATCTACAGTGATCAGCAGCCGCCAGCTGGCTTGTGGTAAGGCACTGAGTCTGAGAGGAACACTGGAAGGAGCAGCAGCAAAGCTGCTGCAGTAGCTCCAGACACTGGACATCTTCCTCTGCTGCTCCTCCCCTCCCCTCAGCTGAAGGATCATTCATGACGTGGCAGCGTCCCACACAGAGTGAGTGCTGGCCTGTGCTGTGCCCAGGTGCCCCCAGGTGGCAGTGCGCTCTAGTTGGCTGCCTAGTTTGCCTAGTGGAAGCACCGTCCCTGTATACAAGGAATATCTCTTAAATGTGCACCATTTAGTATATAATCAGTGTCCCTGCAGCTTTTGACGTCACCAGCACATGCACCCGTGCCATTCCTTCAGAGCTCTGTGCCATGGTCAAGACTCCCACGCATGTACTGGAGTGATGTTATCGCGGCTCGACCAATCAAAGCTCACAAACCCAGAAGGAAGACCGGGTGACAATGGAAGCCAGTGCGCTGGTGGAGGGCTTCGTTCTTGGATAAGTCTTTCAGAATGTGCTGGTATGCGATGCATAGTAGCACATTATGACAATATATTTTGCAGGGGAAATTCTTTTTTTTTTTGGGGGGGGTTTGGCAATTTACTGTAGTCAATTAACGCAGGTGTCCTTATGTCTGTCATGTGATCGTGCATCACTGTGCTTACAGGTGGAAAAGGAAACCTTTTACGTGGAATCAGCCTGGATAGGACTTGTTGAAATAAACAGCTTTTTCTTCAGAACAGAAAAAAGTGTGCATTGCTCTCTGGTTACTTGTTCCTGTTTCCAACCTTGAAAGGTTTGAGGAATGCACATATCGGAGAGACCTATAAGATGGGGATAGTCTGAAGAGATCCTTTTCCTCTCATTATGATTGTCCAGCATCTTTCCTCTGCCTGAGAGTTATGGTGGACACTCATCTTCAGGCCATTATAGTCATGCGTTTATGACTGTTGTTGGTGCAGGGGCGGACTGTCCATTTGGAAACTCAGGTACTGCCCGAGGGCCCGGGGTCAGTAGGGGGCCCCATGAGATGCCCCTGGTATCTTTTTCATAGGCTTTTTTGGGTTTGGGCAAGGACACAGGGGCCCCATGATCCCCTATTGCCCGGGGGCCCCATGAGTTGTCAGTCCGCCCCTGGTCCGGTAAGAGTCCTACCATTACTTGGTGGTGGTTTATTTGAAGACATGCGGTGTTTGATTACACAATAACAGAATATTGGGACTTTATTCACAATTTTACTATTGGGACTTGATTATTTGTTGCTGTTTTCATTTATATAATTTTTGTTATTTATGCATTGATCTTGATGATAATGATGGTGTAGCGCGGCAATTTATTTACGCTAATTTACTGCAGCTTTAACACAGTTTTTTAGTAAATGACTACTTTTGGAATACAAGGCAAAAATTCACATCCTATTTGTCTCTTAGGGAATATGTATAATTTTCTATTTAAAAACACCTAGTCCAGATGAATGTAGTGGAGGGTTTCCAGTTCCTTGGTATGGGAGACGTTTATAAATAGCTTTTGCTGTCATCCTCATGAGCAGATCTGGTATACAGTGTGCTTGGGTGTATGGGATTCGGTCTCTTCTCGGCTCGTCTCAGTGAGATGCAGTGACAGTGTGCAGCCCGTGCCGTTCCAGCGCTGCGCCATCCTAATTACAGCCTCAGGAACAGGAACCCCGTGATGTGGAGCCGAGGACTCTGAAATAGCCACACTCAGCCATTTCTGATCAGATTGTCAGCATTAAGTAAATGTACTATTTCAGAACATCCATTCTCCATTGTAAACATTAACCCCACGCTGACCAGTCCTAGTACATTTCCAGACCTGCCGGGGGAGGGGGGGGGGGGGTGCGCTGCTTCAGTTTGATTTATATTGCATGACTTGGGAGTGTGTTACGCTAGCAGTAGCTGTGCGCCTAACCTACTTATTAATCACATCTTCCTCATTTGCATTTGGAGCACCACAATTATATGTGTTTACATAGATTTTACCACTTCATCAGCTCTGAAGATCAGATGATCTATTATTTAAAGGCAAAGTGTATGTTTTAGTTTTGGATAGAGTAGAAAAGGGTTAGCACCTCTGTCAGATTTTTATTGATGTTTTTATTTACTAAAACTGGGGCACTCAGAGAATCTGGTGCAGCTGAGCGTGGTAGCCAATCAGCTTCTAACTTCAGCACGTTCAATTAAGTCTTAACAATAAAACCTGGAATCTGATTGGTTTCTATGTAGAACTGCACCAGACTTTGCACCAGGGGCGGACTGACCATTTAGAAACTCCGGCACAGCCCGAGGGCCCGGGGTCAGTAAGGGGCCCCATGAGATGCCCTGGTACCTTTTTTCATAGGCTTTTTTGAGTTTGGGCAAGGACACAGGGGCCCCATGATCCCCTATTGCCCAGGGGCCCCATGAGTTGTCAGTCCGCCCCTGCTTTGCACTCCCTAGTTTTAGTATAAAAGCCCTGTGTGCCTGTTGGGTGAACTCGCCTTACTTATTTGTCCTGATGACACTATTGCCAGTGAGACAGAAAGTGATGGCACAGTCTGATTTTTTTGAACAAACGGGTTAAATCTTCCAATAACAATTTGTTCTGGTGACAACTTTCTGGCACTTTAGAGAGATTTCCTCTTATTTCTTGTTGTGTCCCCAGGACAGAAAGTGAAGGCAAATCTCCCCAAGAGGATATATGCAGCACAAAAAACTGACTGAAGGTTTAACCCTTCCCCACCTAATCGAAAACGGAAAAGAAACCATCTATATATTTACTTTTATTACATTATTATTTAAAGTGTTCACCTTTCTGTAAAAAAAAAAAAGGTGAAAAGGTAACTAACACCCTACTCCCCCCTTCCCCCCGCAAACAGCCTGACACCCACTGTACTTACCTCCCATGGGTGATGAGCAGCTGCTGTAGCACTTGGGGGATTTAAAGTTCCCTCTATTCTCCCCCCCCTTCACTGGGCAGGGCTGCCGGGATCGCTCTGTGTGCCTCTGATTGGTCAGCGCCAGCAAATGCTCTTGCTATCCTTCCCAGAGACCCTAAGTCAGTGGTTGTCAACTTATAAGGTAAAAGGACCTCAAATGCGGCCCCTGACTTCATCAAAAAGCCACACATAATGTATATGAAATGCTTGGGAGGACTGTCAGAAACTACAGACCTAATAGAGGAAATGAGGGTCAGAGAGTGAGGACAGGATACGTTGTTGGCGGGGGATGGCTGCAGAAGACTTTACAGAGCTGGGAACATGTTACATGAGGCTGGCAGAGATCAATGCTATTACCCCAATCAATGATCCCAATACAGACTGCTGAGGGCCGAGGGCCATCACACAGGGGCGGACTGACAAATGGGGCCCCGGGCAATAGGGGATCATGGGGCCC